TTCATCCTGGGGACATAGTAGTTATTACCTGACGCAAGTCGTGTTGGATATAAATGAGGTAGAGGGGAGAGATAGTCATTGATATTATGGGCATAGCGGTTGCTTTTCAGATCATAAATGAACAGACATATCTTAAATTTACACAACTTGTGAATATCAAGTATGCCCAGTTTTTTAAATAGAGGGGCAGTATGTGCATTGTAAACAGCAAAAGAGATAAGCCGTACAACTTTCTTTTGCAAAAGAAGGATAGGCTCTAATAGTGTATGATAGGCGGCGTTTCCCCATACTTCTAAACAATAACTAATATGCGGGAGAATCAGGGAATTGTATAACAAAAGTAAAACTGATTTGGGCACATAATGTCTGATCTGGGAGATAATACCAACTTTGGGGGCAATTATTTTTTTTACTTTTTCAATGTGAGGTTTCCAGTTGAGGTGCTGGTCAATGGACACGCCAAGATAATTGATTGAACAAACGCCCTCTATCTCAAACCCATTTATATCCAAGCTGCCCTCAATGCCCAGGTGTTATTAATAGTAGTAGTCGTGGTGGTGATTGGAATACGTAATTTACATATTAATACTAGTAGTCGTGGTGGTGATTGGAATACGTAATTTGCATATTAATAGTAGTAGTCGTGGTGGTGATTGGAATACGTAATTTACATATTAATAGTAGTAGTCGTGGTGGTGATTGGAATACTTAATTTACATATTAATAGTAGTAGTCGTGGTGGTGATTGGAATACGTAATTCACATATTAATAGTAGTAGTCGTGGTGGTGATTGGAATACGTAATTTACATATTAATAGTAGTAGTCGTGATGGTGATTGGAATACGTAATTTACATATTAATAGTAGTAGTCGTGGTGGTGATTGGAATACTTAATTTACATATTAATAGTAGTAGTCGTAGTGGTGATTGGAATACGTAATTTACATATTAATAGTAGTAGTCGTGGTGGTGATTGGAATACGTAATTTACATATTAATAGTAGTAGTCGTGGTGGTGATTGGAATACGTAATTTACATATTAATAGTAGTAGTCGTAGTGGTGACTGGAATACATAATTTACATATTAATAGTAGTAGTCTTGGTGGTGATTGCAATACTTAATTTACATATTAATAGTAGTAGTCGTGGTGGTGATTGAACTACTTAATTTACATATTAATAGTTGTAGTCGTGTAGTCTGTTGTAGTGGTTGTGATGGTCATTGGGACACGTGATGTACATTTCAATTGCAGTGCTTGGTGTGGTAGTTAGGACACGTAATGTACATTTCAATTACAGTGCTTGGTGTGGTAGTTAGGACACGTGATGTACATTTCAATTGCAGTGCTTGGTGTGGTAGTTAGGACACGTGATGTACTTTTCAATTGCAGCGCTTGGTGTTGTAGTTAGAGCACGTGATGTACAATTCCTACGTCGTAGGAATAGGAATTTGTGGTGATTAGTGTGATACTTGGTGTAGCATAGCAATCTGTTCATATCATTTCCATTGTTGTATTAATATCGCATCAGGCGGTTAGTGATATTGAATGTGGAATATTAATTTGCGTGAGACAGATATCCATGGTCAAATTTTGTAAGCAACTAGGTTGCCATGGTGACCCCATACGTATCTTACAATTTTGTTATGGTATTTCTCGGTATAATAGAAAGTGTTCTTTGTTACAGCACATATTCCATATATATACTTTGTTACTACCTATGGTTGTCATGACATTATTACATGTGTTGGTGATTGTCATGATAAGTGTACGTATACTGTAAGACAGTCTGCCATGGTAATGCTACGTTTCCATGCTTGTTGTCATAGTGATCACGCATACTAAATTATTAGTTTATCTATGAACTAGGGGCAATAGTACATATGCCATTACAGTTGTCATGGTAACAGTACATATGCCATGGGGTTGCCATGGTAACTTACTCGTTCACGAGATAGAAATAAAATGGAAATGAAAAGTCGGGTTCACACTGACCTGTGCGTCCTGTCCAAATTAGGTTATGGATGGAGAGATGGAAAAACATAGAAAAAAATGTTATAGCTGATAGTGGGTGTGTTACTTATCTGGCAATGACATAAGTCAAACTGTTTGTTTATAGTACACGTAAAACACTACCATAATTACAACAACAACAACAACAACAACAACAACAACAACTACTACTACTACTACTACTTCTACAATAACGAAATACCATGTTAATACAGACATTAGCAGTGATAACGTTGTCGGAAACGGAAATCAACATCTTTCAACTAAAGCAACGTGGATGAAATAAACTTAGTCATGCTGCAAGTCAGCAAACATCAAATATCATGCTTTAGTCGTGACGTGTGATAGACATAGAGCAGGTTTAATGATACACATGTAATACATGTACTTATCAAAGCAATACACAGATCAAGATTAAAATACAAATAGAGTGAATTATATATGAGCGAAAACTCTATGCAGATTTGCTGTTGTCCCTGGCAGGATACATGGTAAGTGTACATCATGAAATAACATACTACCAACATATTAGCATATATGGTGACTTTCCAAAGAGAAACTACAACAACAATGGATCCCTAAGCATAAATCGGTTAACATCAAGTAACTTGTTTTCACGTTGCATCGATCAATCAATAATTAAAGCGCGGTGGTCGTCGCGCAGCGCGTGTTCGACTTTCATGTAAATAAACAATGTATTTTACACGCGTTGTATACGTCGCTATGAGTCCCATATCGAACAGGACGCGGCGCGACAACTGCCGCCCTTTAACCGTATGTCTCAACACAACTGATGTCAGCATGTGCAAGGATTTCTTAACTAATTTAAAACCATTTTGTATAAAATTATACGTTGACTGCCGCCTTCAAAATATAAACTAAATAATAATGTAATCACCGGAGCCGTTGCACCACGTTCCGTTCTATGAGAACTATGCGGTATTGCACCCGTCAGAGAGTGTTCGACACAATCATAAAACACGTGTCTGCCATCTGCCATCTTTGAATCTCAAAATGGAAGTTGAATTAATCAGGTGGTGTTACACCACAGTCGATATTCACATAGTTGCATATTAGTAATTATAGCATTCTTTATCATAATTATTTGTTATGATTCAGAGGCGGCGGCACAGAATTTTACATGGAGGGGTGGGCGAGATCTGGTTACCAACATAGCGTCGAAGGCGCGATCCAGGGGCATGCTCAGCCTTAAACAAAATTGAAATCGAAATCCACTGAAACTCTATTTCCTGCACTTTGAGGGGCACATTTTGTTGACACAAAGGGTTTCAGCTTGATTTTGGAGGGGCCGCCGCCGCCGCCAGTGAGATTGGCCCATAAAGTAAAATTGAGTGGTACGAAACTGAGATCGATACAATGCATTTATTTATTTCCGGACAATCAGCATGACCTTTGTATCCGAGGTCACAAAGACGTTTGGAAAAGAGACCATATTACAATGCATTATAGGCTTGTTACGTTACGAGCCTACGCGCTTTGTAATTGGTGGAGTTGTGTTGGAGCAACAATTCGGTCAAAACTATCCCAAATTTTTCTATGGTTCAAAATTGTGATATTATCTTTTTCGACGAACTCATAACACATGCTGTACTTAAACACCAATAAAAAAAGTAATACAGAGAGAATCCCAAGTGTGTTTGTTATTGTAACGCCGCTTATTATTGAATCTAAAGAAGTTGCTTGTTTATGTATGTTAGTGACAGAAGTTGTGTGCATTGTGATTATATGAAGATATCCCCCTACAATATAAGTCTTGAGTAAGTCATCTGACTGATTGAATTAACAATATCTGAATTTTAGTTGAAATGTCTAGTTGCATAACTTGCATTGTGTAATATATGGCGGTCTTAATGTCGTCTCATGATGGCGAAATATATTGCCAGACGACAAGGTTTTTCATATCACGATGGCGGAATATATTGCCAGACGACAAGGTTTGTCGTATCACGATGGCGAAATATATTGCCAGACGACAAGATTTGTCGTATCACGATAGCTAAATATATTGCCAGACGACAAGGTTTGTCGTATCACGATGGCGAAATATATTGCCAGACGACAAGATTTGTCGTATCACGATGGCAAAATATATTGCCAGACTATAAGGTCTGTCATATCACGACGGCAAAATATATTGCCAGACGACAAGATTTGTCGTATCACGATAGCTAAATATATTGCCAGACGACAAGGTTTGTCGTATCACGATGGCGAAATATATTGCCAGACGACAAGATTTGTCGTATCACGATGGCAAAATATATTGCCAGACGACAAGGTTTTTCATATCACGATGGCGGAATATATTGCCAGACGACAAGGTTTGTCGTATCACGATGACGAAATATATTGCCAGACGACAAGATTTGTCGTATCACGATGGCGAAATATATTGCCAGACGACAAGATTTGTCGTATCACGATGGCTAAATATATTGCCAGACGACAAGGTTTGTCGTATCACGATGGCGAAATATATTGCCAGACGACAAGATTTGTCGTATCACGATGGCAAAATATATTGCCAGACTATAAGGTCTGTCATATCACGATGGCGAAATATATTGCCAGACGACAAGGTTTTTCATATCACGATGGCGGAATATATTGCCAGATGACAAGGTTTGTCGTATCACGATGACGAAATATATTGCCAGACGACAAGATTTGTCGTATCACGATGGCAAAATATATTGCCAGACGACAAGATTTGTCGTATCACGATGGCGAAATATATTGCCAGACGACAAGATTTGTCGTATCACGATGGCAAAATATATTGCCAGACTATAAGGTCTGTCATATCACGATGGCGAAATATATTGCCAGACGATAAAGTCTGTCATATCACGATGGCAAAATATATTGCCAGACGATAAGGTCTGTTATATCACGATGGCAAAATATATTGCCAGACGATAAAGTCTGTTATATCATGATGGCGAAATATATTGCCAGACGATAAGGTCTGTCGTATCACGATGGCGAAATATATTGCCAGACGATAATGTCTGTCATATCACGATGGCAAAATATATTGCCAGACGATAAGGTCTGTCATATCACGATGGCGAAATATATTGCCAGACGATAAAGTCTGTCATATCACGATGACAAAATATATTGCCAGACGATAAAGTCTGTCATATCACGATGGCAAAATATATTGCCAGACGATAAGGTCTGTCGTATCACGATGGCAAAATATATTGCCAGACGATAAGGTCTGTCATATCACGATGGCAAAATATATTGCCAGACGACAAGGTCTGTCATATCACGATGGCGAAATATATTGCCAGAAAATATATTGCCAGACGACAAGGTTTGTCGTATCACGATGGCTAAATATATTGCCAGACGACAAGGTTTTTCATATCACGATGGCGAAATATATTGCCAGACGACAAGGTTTGTCGTATCACGATGGCGAAATATATTGCCAGACGACAAGGTTTTTTTCGTCCCACGATAGCGAATTATATTGCCAGACGACAAAGTTTATCGTATCACGATGGCGAAATATATTGCCAGACGATAAGGTCTCATATCACGATGGCGAAATATATTACAAGACTTCAATGTTTGTCGTATCACGATGGCGAAATATATTGCCAGACGATAAGGTCTCATATCACGATGGCGAAATATATTGCCAGACGATAAAGTCTGTCATATCACGATGGCGAAATATATTGCCAGACGATAAGGTCTGTCATATCACGACGACTAAATATATAACCAGACGATAAGGTCTGTCATATCACGATGGCTAAATATATAACCAGACGATAAGGTCTCATATCACGATGGCGAAATATATTACCAGACGACACAGTTTGTCGTATCACGATGGCGAAATATATTGCCAGACGATAAGGTCTCATATCACGATGGCGAAATATATTGCCAGACGATAATGTTTGTCGATAGAATTAGCTTCCCACAATGACACAATAGAATGGCACCCGATGGAGTTTTCCGTCTCACTGGTGAAATAAAGTGGAAACTATGGAGTTTCCCATCTCACAAAGGCAGAATAGTGACAGACGGCGAACTGGATTAATGCGAGCTCATTATAATACACGACAGGTATCGGGAGTGATCATCCCCACCTTGGAATAACGAATATAACAACTAAAAACTAAAATGCGGTGTTACTATGGTAACGACTCTCAGGGCATATTTAGTACGGCTTAGCCAAGGTCATGCCATTATGTTCCATGAACATTGAACCTTCGGAGAATTCATCGCATTCGATTCATGTGATGAATCACGTATCATAGCGTAAAAGGTCACGGGACCTGTATTTGGGTACATTGTGCACGAACCGAACGTAACACTAACTAAGGTTTTGTATCCACAAACTATTTTCAATTTATATTTTAATCAGTAGAGGAAGAACTGTTAAATATTGTTAATATTATAATTAACCTTAATTATTCCCAAGTGGCATGCAGTAATGCTCATTAATATGTTAATTATTTTATTGTGAAAATACCTTTACATCAAAGGACGTGAATAACATGGAGTAAATTGGCGCAATTTCATACATTGCACCTAGTGTGTATTGTTTATAGACTACGTCTAGTGTGTATTGTTTATACACTACATCTAGTGTGTCTTGTTTATACACTACGTCTAGTGTGACTTGCTTATACACTACGTCTAGTGTGACTTGCTTATACACTACGTCTAGTGTGACTTGCTTATACACTACGTGTAGTGTGTCTTGTTTATACACTACGTCTAGTGTGGCTTGTTTATACACTACGTCTAGTGTGACTTGCTTATACACTACGTCTAGTGTGACTTGTTTATACACTACGTCTAGTGTGTCTTGTTTATACACTACATCTAGTGTGACTTGTTTATACACTACATCTAGTGTGACTTGCTTATACACTACATCTAGTGTGACTTGCTTATACACTACGTCTAGTGTGTTTTGTTTATACACTACATCTAGT